TTGTGTTTTTGAGATCCTACACTTCCCATCATGCTTCTCATTAGACTTTTAAAGGAGTCCATAGGAGCCAGCCGGACATTTATTTTTAAAATATGAAAATCAATCTTAAAACCCCCAAATATGATTTCCCAAAAGTAACTAAGACCTTGAATTTGACAGGTGTAACAGGTGATATACTCCCTTAAATCGACACAGTACAAGCCTTATGACCTTTGCTTCTCTGTCTATTATTCTCTACATGTCCACTCCATGGAAGCGATGCATCACTTCAATATTGGGTCCATATTTTCTCTCTCCCTTCCTCTCTCTTGAATTCTCTTTCATGTGAACTGAGAGCAGCATGGTCACCTGGGGCTCTAACCCTCTCTCTTTCTCTTTCTGTGTGTGTGTGCGCGCGTGCGTGTGCGTGCATGTGTGTATGTGGACAGATTAGGTGCTCGGACTCAGAATGTTCCCCTCTAAAACTCTTGTCTCATGTTGCAGCTGCTGGCACACAAGAGGAGAGCCCCTCTGACTACAAATTAGAGTCCTAATTGCAGATGGACACACACACACACACACACACACACACCTCTTTCTTTGCATGAGTTATTTTGGGAAGTCCCAGTTTGTCATTCGGACCCATTCCACTTATCCCTCTTTTGTGCCATCCCATTTTTCTCCCCACCACCATTCCGGGAGTTGGGCCTAAATCCCCTCAGTTAAGCCGGGCTTTCCTCAGCACGAGAATACAGGGGAGCGCTGCGCTGATGCAGCTTGGCCGGCCCCGTGATGGATTTGGTGGACTGGCAGGTACACAAAAGCCAGCATCTATCCGCTAAAGCGCACCATACACCAGAAAATTAAGCATCTTTTCAGGAAGAAGCATTTATCAGCATTTAGCCAGTATCATAGGCTTATGCAGCTGTAAATATGCGGCATGTGCGCTCATGCTGAACGTCCTCGTCCTTTGACCAAACGCACTGCTCGATTTTTTTCACTTTTTCGGGATGATGCTAGAGGTGTTACGCACAGCTCCACATTTCGACGCCGACTGAACTCCAAGAGACAAAACAGGAGAAGACGCCCCCCCCATCCCACCCCTCCTTTCACTTTCATCTGGATCTCTACCCCCACCTCTCATTTTCTTTTCTCTCTTCTTTACTCTCCTTTCATCATATGAAGAGGGAGGGAAAGTCCTCCTGGCCATTTCTACATCCCTGCCTCCCCTCCACCTCCACCCCCAATTTCAACCCCCCCCTCACACCCACACCCCCAATCACTTCTTTTGGTACTCTTCTTTTGCCCATCAGGTCCAGAGAGAGCCTCTCACACAACACGTTGCAACTACACATTTGCGTGCACACACATCTAGACGCATGCACGGAGACTTGCTCTTCACCCCCACCTCTCCACGCACGCACACTTTCATTTTCTGTGCCCCACACTTCAAACACATGAAAGGATGCTCTGCGGGGACCAAGGCTAAAGGGAGAGTTGGCGGTAAGGAAAAAGGAGGAGGAAGAGGGGAGGTGGTATAAAAGCAAGCATGAGAGGCAAATGTATAGGGGAGATGAGGGGCCCCGGGGGGGTGGGGGGGCGTAGGTGGTTAAAGAAGAGGGTCACGGGGGCCTCATTGGAGACCAGGTCAATGTCAAGGGGCTCGCTCTCGCTGAAGTGATTCACATCGGCCTCTCAAGAGACAAAACAGCCGTCCCTCTGTCCTACATCCTAAACTGTTCACAGTGTGGTTCCTAACAAGCGCCACCTGTTAATTGGAGAAAGGGAGGATGTGGAAGCAGTGTTGTGTTTGGCAAATAAACCTGTAAACAGCCAGTGGATTTATAGAGAAATATGGAAGGGTGGCTGTCAGCACTAGCGAAGCCTGCACTGCCCGTGGCTCCTCAGCCACAGACAGCATCTAACACATAAACAGGAGTGTGCTATGTCACAAGGAAATTATCTTTAAGTGATGGGTTCATTTAGTGTGTGGCAACTGTAACTTGTTTTATATTTCTTCCTCGAGGAGAAGATATTTATTTCTTCTTCCCTCATTTGTGCTCCTTCTTCATTTCCTCTCCTTAGATATACATTTTTTCCCCCTCTTTACCCGTGCCTCTTCTTCTCTGCACAAGAGCTGGTCACATAAAGAAAGCATATTTGCAGAATAAAGGATAATGTGGAAACTATCAAATGATTTGGAATGTGGAAGTGAAGAAAAGGAAGCGAGTATTTCCAGAGCGCTTGCCTCAAAACTGACGAAGCTTCTGGGAAAGGAAGCCGGTGATCAGACTTAGCCCATGGCCATAAAACCCCCAGAATTTTGCCTCTAAACTCAATTAAAGCTTTTATAGGCTTCGCCCCTAGATTTGCAACCAGCAATTAAAAATCATTACTAATCAAATAAAAATAAAAGCTGCTCAAACTACAATTTGGCCCAAGCACTGATTGGATTTATACTACTGCAAGAAAGACTCGTGTTTAAAAAAGAAAAAAGACACTGGTAGGAGTCAACGTTACATCCTATAGAAAAAATGTGAGAAAAATATTAACATTTCACGCTCAGCGACGAGAACAAGAAGCCAACGTATCAATCTGTAACAACTTTTCTCATTTTCTCTCCTCCCCGCCCATCAAACTCCAGTTTCCTCAAGATAAAACTGGGGAATTTTATGTCTATAGAAGCTCAGTGAATATGTGACACACTAGAGGTTTCCTGGGTGAGATTTAGAGGGTTGGCAGGCAGCCAATGAGAGCTCCTGGATCAATCATGGCATTGATGCATGTGAAGGCTTGTGGGTGTTGTTAACAACGGAGAGTCGGGGTGGTCAGAAATCACCCTGAGTGACACTTTGACACTGGGTGGGCAAGCGCCGCAAATAGAAATGTCAGCCGTCTCAGTGGCCGGGGTTTCACAATGGCAGCGGCGTGGCACGGTGCTACATGGTAGTGCGAACACAGAGCTGTACTCCAGGGTTACCAGGTAGCACTGCACCTCAGTGACTTAGCGACAGGTGATGGAGGAGGGTTATTTTGTTTTGTTTCTTAAAAGATGCTTGAATTAAAGTGAACAAAAAGAAACCTCTAGATCTTTTATGTAAGAATTTCTAAATCTACTATTAAGAATTTAAAAATCTGTGGAGTGAGGAAAGATTAGAAACAAATAGCAAGACAAAGCTTTGTGTACTGACCGTGACCGGGCAGACCCATGCTGCTTGCTAGCTGGTAGAGGCGTTGCTGCTGCTCCTCGTAGGACCCTTGCTCGCTGAGCGCTGACATCATGCGCCTGTAATGTTCCTCAGGGCTCATGTGGCCGTGGCTGCCGCCTGCCTCCACCCCTGGGCTCTGGGAGTTTTCTGCAGAAAGGAGGGGAGGGATTACTGATTGTCAGTAGCAAACTGATCGGGAAATTTCTTTTAACTTGATCTCCAGGCTCTGAAGCTCTCCCCATAAATTTCTATCACCTCAGTGGCACACGAGGTATTTATAGGAAGAACAGTCCACATTCATTTGCATGTCACGATTGTGTAGAGCACGCCACAAGCAAGAGGTTGCATGAAATGTAACACTGTTAGCAGCCTCAAAGCATTAGTAGCTCAAAATGGTAACCAGAGGTCACAGATTTGTGAAATTTTGCAGTTCAACAGCTAAAAAGCCGATTCAACATCAGACACATGAAGCACTGCTTTAACATTACTGCGAACTTTATTGTCAGATAAGAAATAATGATTCAAACCTTTTCTAGTTAGAATTTGATTTCAGTTCTTAAAGGTACTAAACCCTTTGAGAAATACCTAAATATTAAACATTTTTTTGGTCGTATTTTCTCATTTTACCTAATAAAACAAGTATAAGTTTTATGCATATGTTAAATATGAGTCAGAACATGTGCTTTCAAAGATCATGAAGGTCCAGTGGACTGGAAGCCTCTTCACATGAAGCTACATGCGTAGAGCCATGCATTGTTAATGTTCAGAGCCTGACCCCATCATGAACTCGCAATTTCTCTTACACAAAGCGCATCAGTAGCTCCGGTAACACTGCAGTGATGAAACTTACTGTATATAATGCAGACTACAGAAAACTCAACAGTACAAAACAACTCTCAGCTTCGACCACTGTTAGTGTGGGTACGTGTGTGTGTAACATCTCTCTGTTGTGTTTAAGGTGTTGCGAAGACAATGCGGTGTATGATGTCTATCTAGCCGTCAGTCCCCCATACTTAATCTCCCTGCCTTTGACCTCCCTCTTCCCCCTCCCTGTCAATAGTAACATGATCTAAGGTAAGAACGGAGGGGGATATAGGAAGGTGGTTAGGGAGTTAGAAAAGGGAGACAGAGGATGAGGTGGAGGAGGGAGAAGCAGAGGAAAGAAGCAGGGGTTATTTTTACCACCCTCCTCCTTATTGAAACCTGAGTCTGGCCCCGGGCAGGCGAGCAGGAGTGGCGCTGAGGAGCGGAGGTGGGGTGGAGGTGGTGAGGGAGGAAGCGAACACGCAAGCATCTCTGTCTCCACCGACAAGCTCCAGCTAATCCACCCAAGGTCCTCGAGTGTTTGTGTGTGCGTCCGTGTGTGCGTGCGCAACTAGTCTGTGCCTGTCTAAAGTTTTCCTGCTCTCTAAACACAGCAGGGGGTGCCGACTTTGCAACCGAAAGAAAAACAGACATCATTTACACAGTGGTATCCAATCTCTCTGGCTCCATCCACACACTACCCTCACAGTCTGTCTCTTTTAGTCTGTTCTCCACCTGCATTAGTCATTAAAGGATCTCTTGTGTCACCACACTTGGAGGCAAAAAGATGTAACTTAGCATAGATAACACACAAATACTAACCCACATACAGGTGCCGCGTCAGGCTTTGGGTGTGGACGCAGCTCAAGGTTAAGACACAGGATCAGCAATGTTTTGACAAGGCTTAAATGCACTTTTCTGGACAGCTGGCTGCACGCACACACACACACACACACACACACACACACACA